ACCTTTGCCTCAAGTGAAACACAACAAGCACATTGAGGCAATGGGAATCAAGCATGTTGGAGACTGGCTTTGAAATTCCCTGTACATGTGTTTTAATTAAATAGGATATTTAATGTAAGACACTGTATTGAAACCTTTCATTAATGGAGTAAATTAATTTTTTGTGCAAAATTATCATTCACTCCATTGCTATTTAATTGTGGTTTAGAATTAAATAATGAGTCCATTCGATTTACTGAAATATTCAAAACAGGGTATCAAGACCATGTCTTGGATAAAGAAACACCTGTTAAGTGAACATTGAATATTAAATCGAAAAGTATCCCTAATCGAGGTCATTTAACAGATGGACGATTGATGACCGCCATAGATTAGTGTGTAGTATGATTTACAGCACCGTTTCTTGTGCTGCGAGGACGTGACGGTCATAAATCATTTGCACAGGTACAGTTTAGAACTGTACTGGATAAGACCTATGAGAGTACTTTAAGAAAATTTAAAATTTTGTCATAAGTACATTTCTCATTATGACTATCGGAACTTATTTCCTCCGACCATGAGTACTGTGAAGTTTTCTTGTTTGAGTACTAGGCTCTTTGATGTTTCCAAACGTCTGCCGTAACTGGGGATCATAACGGGAACACTCGGGAGTCTATGTCCTCTTAGTAAGAAGAACTTACAATATAAGACTGGGATTGTCCCCCTACTAACAATAGGGAAAATGTTTTGTTGTTTAAAAGGCCGCTCGAAGAGTGAGACTGTGAAAATGCATGGCCGTGCTCAGATGGATTTTAGAAATCATCTGCTTATTGACAGACGAACTCGGAGATCGAGAAACACTTCTGAACGTAATAAGGATGACAAAGAATCTTACCTTATAGTTCACGAAGAAACATTAAGTGACAAAGGAAATGAGCTATACACAATATGCACACTTGTCCGGAAGGACAAGTGGGAGATTGAAAGGAATGCTGTCCTTCCAACAAGTGTATTATTCCGATAGAGGGTTCAGAATTATTACAGAGCTAATTCTTCAGTAAGGTCAAGTGATCGAAATGCCTAGGTGGAGGCCGCTTCCGATCAGTAGTATCGAGGTACAATTGGTATTACAGCTTAATCTTAACTGAACCCTTCGGGTCGAACCCAATCGAACCTCCGATCCGAGACGACGAGTTAATCCGAAAGGATTTAATGAGTCGACAAAGTTTTACGAATACAGACGTCGGAAATCGAGCCTAGGGCGTCGAGACCGAGCGTCGCAAAATCACAAGCAACAAGTATGAGCGTAGCCGTAGCTAGGCTAGGCTAGCTCATAGCAAGCCTAGGCGCACCATGTGTGTGCTAGGCGCACCATGGTGTGCTAGGCACCATCGCAGCCTAGGCGCGCCCTGGCAGCCCATCGCAAGCTAGCAGCATGCTAGCATGGGTGCCTGGGTGCGCATGGCAGCTATCGCAAGCCACACAAGCACCAGGCAGCCCATCGCAGCTAGCAGCGTGCTAGCGAGGGTGCCTGGGTGCTCATGGGTGCTATCGCTAGCCCATCGCACCAAGCACAGCCATCGTAGTGCTACGCACTGGCGTATAGGCTTGTGCATGCATGCCTCGCACAATCGCAGCCCTATCGCACCAAGCACAGCACCCTCGTGTGCGTGTGTGTGCATAGGCGCTCTCGCAACACCCTAGCATCACGTACATCACCATCGCAGTGCTAGGCACATGCGTGTGCGTGTGCACCGTCGCCCAGCAGCCTCGCAATGAGGCACCTAGCTGTGTGCTTGCGTGCGTGCCTTTTGCATGGCAGCACCAAACACAACGTGCTAGCAAGGAGCACCAAGCCCAGCATGCGTGGCTCGCTAGCAGCACACATGCTAGGCCTTGCGTGCGTAGTGCGCTGGCTGGGTGTGCGCATGCTGGCCTAGCTGGCTGGAAGTGCAAGAGGCCCTGTGCGAGAGAGTGCTAGGCAGCAACATTACTAGGATAGCAGCACCAACGCCCAGCAGCTCGCAGCGTGCTAGGGCTGATGCGTGCTAGGCCAGTGCATGCTAGCAGTGCTTGCTAGCACACCAAGCTGGCTGGCTGTCCAGCCTTGGTGCTAGGCGCCAGCTGGCAGCCTTGGCAGCCAAGGCAGGCTGCCAGCCCAGCTGTCCATGAGGTGCCGGTTTTGGTGAGGGGTGGGGACCAAGCTTGGGCAAGGCCTTGAGGAGCAAGGCAATGGTCCCCCCCACCCATTCATGGTCCTCACCTAACCTTCTCTCTCTATTTGACACTTGTTGCATTGTGATTAGTTTTGTTTATTAATTTATTTTAGAAATAAATTAATTAGCAAAATAAACATTCTCCCACATTGGTTGGGGAATGAAATACAAGGGTTCATTTCCCTATAAATACCAAGCTTGGGTATTGGGAAATGAACAACCTTGAGTGGAATTAAAAAGGCAACTCTAGAAAAGAGTAAACCTTTGATTCGTAAAACACATAGTTATTTTGTCCGGGTCTTGACTAACCTTCAAGACTTAGGACGCTCGGGTCGGGTCGAGGGTACGATCCGTCGGAGATCTCGTCTTTTCGGGATTTTGAAGTAAGAGCTCTTTGGGAGCGAAGCACGCGTCAAAGGTATAATTCTTGTTCTTAATCTTGTTTAATTAAGTTCATTATTAATTGCTTTAATTAAGGGGCAGGTCTTGGTGGGTTTCCTTCCGCGTAGTGTCGGGTCACTACGAAACCCTACATTCATTGCCAGGGTAGGGATTGATCAACTAACTGAACAATTGGTAATTATCAATGAGTTTGTTTTGAATATCCTGATAGTGCATACAAGGTGTTTGATAAAATGTTTGTTAGAAAATGCTTGGTAATTATTTGTTGTTTGAGGAATGCTATCACATGGAATTGAACAAGGGACTATTAATGCTAATCAAATGATTACTCGGCTTAAGGAGAATGTAGTTGGTAGAATTAGATGTTTGCCATGTATTATTAGTGCTAAAAACAGAAGTTGGTTTGATAATATGTGATGTATAAGTTTCTTTAGCTGCTTGTTTTGATAATATGTGATGAGCAACAATAATAAGTTAGTTTCTCATTTGTCAAATGAGTAAATAATTAGTTGCTCATTTGTCAAATGAGAAAATAATTAGTTGCTAATTTCACAAATGAGCAATGAGTTATTTGCTCATTTGACAAACAAGCATTGAGTTATTTGCTCATTTGGCAAATGAACATTCAATTATTTGCTCATTCGACAAAAGATCAAAGAATTGTTTGCTTATTTCACAAATGAGCATTGAGTTCCTTGGTCTGCTTGCCTATGCACAAGCCCTACCCCCTTCTTCTTGGTCTGTTTCCTTCACACCAACCACACTCCTTTCTTCCACTTTCCTCCACAAACCTATCCCCCCTGCCCCCTCATCTTTCTGCTTGCAGTTCTGATTTCAAAAACTGATTTCAGTTCTAATGTTAGATTATGAAATTATTGTGTGTGTGTGTGTGTGTGTGTCTGTGTGTGTGAGTGTAAGAGTGTATGTGTAAGTGTGTGCGTTTGCTCCTGGCCGTGTACATTCTTATTTAAGAATCCGATTTCAGTTCTAATTATTGAGAGTGTGTGTGTAAGTGTGTTTAAGGGGGTGCATATTCACTTGTTACTAATTTACTTGATAATACTTCCTAGTAGTAGTTGTGTTGGGTGAGCATGTGTTGGGTAATTTGTGAGCTATGGTGGCTGTTGTAGTAATAATGGACGCATTTTAGTTTCTACATTTTATTGTTTTCCTCTGCTTCTATGGGAAGGCGTTGATCTATATCAAAAACCTATTAGCTCAAGTGGTAGAGCACTATGCAAATGCATAGATGATGTAGGTTCGAATCCTACATAGGTTGTATTTATAAATAACTATATAAAAAAAACCTTAAAAAAAAACTTGATCATCTCTCCTTTTCTGCTCAACTATATCGTTGTTCAATTCTTATACATGTCTTATAATTGTAATATGATTTATGCAATGTCCGAAATTTTTAGCACGAATTAGCCTAGGCAACTTCCTCTTAATCAAATAATAGGTGTTCCTTTTCCAGCTTAACTTCAAACTTTTGTAAGTTATAAGTTAATAATGCTTCCTGTTGTATACATACTTGCAATACTTCTGCTTCTGATGCCAAGCTACACAAGCAGTGTCAATCAAGGAAGATACAACTGCTTAGTACACAAGAATGTCGCAGTTAGCATTGGTGTAATAAATGATCGCAGCACTCATGTGGGAAAGGAACAGGAAATAACAATGAAGATTGTTGTTCAAGATGTTAGATGTTTATAAAACAGCAGTGGGTGTCTTTTGTATTGTTTTCCCAATAGCCAAAAGAAATAAATTTCATTAACTACTCAAAATTTTCAAACTCTGCATTTTCACACTACTCTACATGCTAATTGAGTGTAGTTTGCTCATTTCTTTGCTCACACTACAAACTTTTGTCTCCACATTACATAAATGAACCTACGTGGGATTCGAACCCACATCTTTTGTGCATTTGCACAGTGCTCTACCCTCGAGCTAGTAGGCTAACGTATTTAAAACATTCAAACACACTCACAAATGAGCATTAATTTGACAAAATGAGCAAGAATCATTTGCTCATTTGACAAATGAGCATTAAATAGTTTGCTCATTTGACATAAGAGCATTGAATTTTTTTGCTCATTTGATAAATGAGCAAAAAATTATTTGCTCATTTGACAAATGAACAAAAAATTATTTAATGCTCATTTAAATGAGCAAAAAATTATTTGCTCATTTGATAAATGAGCAAAAAATTATTTGCACATTTTATCAATATAAAATGTGTTTCCTAATATCAAATGCATGAGAAATTTATCATGTAATTCAAAGAGGACAGACAAAAGCAGCGAGAGAAGCAGAAAAATAAACTAAAATCCCGCACAGTTACAAGATAACATACTCTGAACATACCAAGATAAAGTTCCAAAATAGCTTGTTCTATCTCAAGAATCAACAGTAGAAACCATTTGCCTACAATATATATAATTTTATGTAGTTATGATGGTGACTACATATATATAATATCTCCTTTACAATTTTATAGGAGACAACAAAGCAAAACAGTTTTCATAATTTTTTAAGTTAAAAATATCTAAACAACATAGCTAGACAACTCCGGTCATATCAGTAAGACGGTAAAGCTACCACCTGATTTTTACTATGAACAGATAAATATACAAATACACAGCAGATGTGAATTGCCAAAGCAATAACCAGTAGCTACTGACAGCGACTCATCCTTCACAAGAGCTTCCTTGCTATGACTGATTTTTTTTTTCTTTTTAGGTTGGGGGAGGAAGAGGGGGGTCATATTGATACAGCCTTGCTCTCGTGGATGCAGAAAGGCAATTCTGTAAAGCCAATACTTGCAGGATTTCAAAATTGAATTCAAATAATTACTAATATAATCAAAATTGAAAATAGAAGCAACAAATAAAAAAAACAACTTTACCTCGATGTTTTTTAATTCCAGAAAGCTACATTAATAGTCCGATATTGAATAAGGCGTGATAAAACATCAAGGTATTAAAGTCAAACATCTTTATTACCTGAATCTTTTCTCTGTACCGCGAGTAACAAGAGCATAAGGATCTGATGTGCCATTCACATTTCCAGCGATAAGATTCTTTGCAGCCAAAGGCCCAACCTGCATGATAAATGATTCTATAAAAGTCTCAAATAGAAAATCAATTTTAAATGCACTCCTCAATAAAATTCCTTCCACAATGTTTGATACCTTTTTTTTACCAAAATAATGGAAGCAAGCATATCACTGAGCACCCCAGCAGTTTAATAAATCTTATTAATATATAACCTACACCTACATCTTTAAAACACGCCAACATCCCAAAAAGGTTTAAACATTTTATAAAATAGTAGATGTATTTGGTATCTACATCTTAGATATTATGTCAAAATTTACACTTAAAAATCAGAATACAGGTTTTGTCTGTGCTTTACTGGCTTTACGTGAAATCTTCGGCACATATCAAAATAGAAAATTTGATGCTGAACCTTGACCATACCTTGATCAAGTACCCTGCGTGAGTTTGAGGGTCACATTTCAGCTTGCCAATCTACAAAATAATTGCAGAAATTCATGTCAAGACAGATGGAATTACTCCAAGATATCAAACAATCAAATGTAGCATGCCCCCCTAGATTAACAAAAGAATATTAGGCTTCTCTAGCTTGGCTGATGTTGGCAACCAATAAACATAGAAAGCAAGAACAGTACTTCTTCAGAAAGATGGGTGTTGGTTATACATATATAAACCTACAACTTAAAGCAATGCAAAGCTAAGGGCCTAGGCATAAATTGAACATTACAAACTCAGAAAAGGACAAAAACATTGCTCATTATCATTTGGGAAATGAGCAATCAAATTTTTGATCATTTGGCAAATGAGCAACCAATTTTTTACTCATTTAGCAAATGAGCAAATAGTTAGTTGCTCATTTGTCAAATGAGCAATAATTAGTTGCTCATTTGTCAAATGAGCAAATAATTAGTTGCTCATTTGTCAAATGAGCAAATACTTAGTTGCTAATTTAACAAATGAGCAAAAACTTAGTTGCTCATTTGTCAAATGAGCAAATAGTTAGTTGCTCATTTGTCAAATGAGCAAACATTTCTTTAATCATTCATTAAATCAACTAGTATTTCTTTGCTCATTTCATCCACATGAGCAATCAACAAGCATATGATATTCTTGTAATAAGAAGAGTATCATCCACATTCATTCAAAAATCTCAATAATAACACAATGGAGTTATCGAAAGCCGACTCACAAATACATAAGTTTATGTAGGTGTGAGGTTGTTTGTCCACTTGCCTCCATTAGCACAAATTGGTAAATGCACATGGAGATCAGAGGATCTCCTCGAACTATGAGAGAAAAAGGGAGGGGAAAAAAATAAAAGAGTACTATAATTGAAAACAAGGGATTTAGAGAAAATGTGAGGCATGATCAGCAACAGCTGACGTTTTCCCTTGAAGATAGAAAATTGCACGTCGAGTATATAGAAGTTGCAGCCCTCCAAAGGTGTAGCCAACTTGGTTGCGCAATTCAAACCAAACATACAGGTTTAACTTTCAACACATAAAAGAATCTTCAAGCTGCAATTCACTTTATCTACAATTTCAGCTCTAAAGTTAACATGTGATATAATGCTCCATACAATTCTATGTTATGAGTCATGTGTTTTGTGATTACCCTAGGTCTAATTGTTATCATCAAAAAGCCACATATAATACAAAGTGTTTTGAATAGTACAGTCAATCAAAGTAGAAATCTTAAAGTAGAAGTGGAGGTATTATCATGTGTAGGGATTGAAGGACGGAAGGAAAAGTGTAATAAGCTTTAAAAGGCATCGCATGCTATTAACAGAAAAAAAAAAAAAAAAAATTTGACAGTCCTAAGGTAATGAAGTTTAGTGTCCTAAGTAGTGAAATAGTGTAATAAATGCCACCCTGTTTCCTATTCCAGTTCCACATACATGCTAAATCAGTTTAATCTAAAAGTAAGCAGTATATAGCTGAATGAAATGAACATATACTCTCATTAAAGCAATAGTGACAAGGACTAAAGCTGTACCTTAAATTGTTATCTACAATTCCCATATGCTGCATCTCAAATATAGTGTTCCAATGTACATGTTGCAGGCCTTGATCACAATGAAGCATCATTTCATTTACTTGGTTCAGCGAGCATTCCTACCACAAGTGAAATACGAGTAATTTTAGTTGCTTTCATCTATATAAAATATTAGCAAATGACTTTTAAGAAGTATATACAAAGTGCTCAAATTGTAATACTAAATCACCGTCTTCTTCTTAACTAACCAGCTGTTTCTCTTCTTCGGAAAGAGAACTATCCATCTGGTTGAACAACTAATCAGTATAGAATATCTATATGGGTACTTTACCTTTAGTGTATCATCATGTGTGTTGAATGAGTTCATCAAAACCAAAGGCACTTTGGATCCATACTTGCCTTTAAGGTTCCGAGTTGTATATATAAAAAAAAAACACTAATGAACATCAGCCTACCATATTTGGCTGTATTGATTCATATGTATTTGTCCCTATACGTGTATGAAGATTCATATTAATCATATGTAGCTCCAATTTACAAAAACATAGCTGAGACCAGAGAGAATTGCTGGATTTCGTTTCTCTATTCTGCAAGAAAATCTGTACAAAAGTGGATTAACAGTTATGCTGTACCTCCTATAAACAAAATTACAGTAAGCTTTAATGAAGCAGCCCCTCTGAAATTCTAGCTTTCACATCTCCTAGCCCTTTCAATGCGCAAGCTGTACGACTACAGCTGGAGCAAAGCACCTTTTCCGATCCCCACAGCCTTGAGGTTTGTCACTTGCCAACCAAGACCTTCCTGGTATCGCTCGACCTGTTATCACATTTCATGAGAAATCATATACAAGTGTAAATATTTTAGAGAAGGAAAGGAATATGGTGAGCACAAACATGACCAACCTACAGAACAACCTAATACAGAAAGCCTAATGCAAGTTGAGGTAAAGGAAGTGAAAGCTTGACCACAATTCCAGCAAGAAACAAAACTCATTATAGGGGATCTATTAGTAATTGATATTGCAGAACGACGAAGAAAGAGAAAGGAATGCACCTTATCCAGAACATTCTCATTTCCTCCCATTCCCCCAATTGCATATATCCTATCATTCAATACAACAGCTGCTGAATATCCCCTTGAGTGGTTCATTGATGCCTCACTCATCCAGGTCCCCCGACGAGGGTCAAATACTTTAACACTGGCTACCATAGTTCTTCCATCAAAGAACGATAATGCCGAAATATCAAAAAATTGGAAGTGGATAATCAAACAAAAAAAACGAACTGAATAATCATACAAAAAAATTGAACAGAAATAAGCCCACAATCAACTGGATTTTATATACTAACTTGAACATAATCGCAATGTTTACCTATAAACAAATTATAGCAAAATTCAGAATTTCTTTTTTTTTTAATCAATTGAAAAAACCAATCTTGGGGGTCCAAAGCTCCAAACATTTAGCTTTTCGCTTAGACATTTAATCGAACAGTTTACGTGCATCCTCAATTCCTGTTGCAAATTTTTCGAATCAGAATTCACAAGTAAAACAGGGGTTTAAGTGTTTGGATTACCTTGAATGTTCGAAGGAAGCTTTATACTAGCTTTAGCAGTACTAACAACCAAACCAAAACCGCAACATAATCGCAACAAAATCGAGCAAAAATCGCAACAAAACCACAAAATAATTTCGAAAATACACAACCAAAACAAGAATACATGTTAAAACTAAAATGAACTTGATAATTACTCAAAAAAACGAAAATAAAACTAAAATCAACAAAAAAAAACAAACTAAAACATAATCGACACAAAGTAACCAAAAATTAGTGAGATGAAATCAGCACAAATAAAACGAAAATCAAAACGAAGATAAACAATGAATGTAACCTAAAATTAATTGAACAACAGCAAAAAAAATAAACAATAAACTTACATTGACGAACAATTGATGAAGATTGGAGAAGTTGTGATGAAATTTCAGAGAGAAAGAGAGTAGAAAACCGGATGAAATTGAATGAGGAGAGAGAAATTACGCGTGAAAGAGGAAGGAGGAGAGAGAAAAAACGCAGAAATTGTTTCGAAATAAAATGATTTTGTTTAAACCGGGATTGTATTGTGACCGTTGGATGCAATTGATCCAATGGTTATAATGAGTCCTCACATATAATAGTGTCCTCACATAAGGGGTGTGATCTCATATGATCCTATATATATATATATATATATATTATTGTTTTAAATAGAATTATAAAGATTTTACTAAAATAGAAATCAATTTGGTGAATTGTTTCCTATGAAATTTTTGTATGAACTTGTATAATTAATTGCACGGCAAGAAATCATAAACTAATTCATTTAAGCTTAAATTTATCATAAACAACTTCTCCGCTCTCTCTTCCTTTCTGTCTCTCTATAATTTTATTTATTGGGTCAATATTAAGATCATTGACCCTAGTACCCTACACTATGGTAAGACTAAATATCCATGCATAGGTTATTTCACAATAAAAAATAAAAAAAAATTAAAAGCATGGGTATGTTTTACTTTTATCTGTTTGTGTGTTATATATGTGTGATTGCGTTATACTTCCTCCATTTCTAAATATTACAACACAGATTTTAAGAATAGGAAGAGAAAGAGAAAAATAAAGATAGAGACCCATGTGATGAAGAGAGGGAATGAGTGAAAACATGTGTAAATAGAGAAATGTCACAATATTTGTAAAACTTCGTAAAATGGTAATTATTGCAACATCTGTAAAACAAAGGAAGGATATGTCATGTGTTTGGGTATTATGCATTCATGAAACTAATAACAATATCATTTTTAACATGTACTCCTTCTATCCCCTTATTTTTGCACCATAGGCCCATTTTATAGAAATTTACGAGTCAAAAAAGGGACAAGGGAGTAAGAAGTAAGCATATTACAATTTCTTTCTCCGTTTTCTCTCTCTTATAAAGAAGAAAATTAGGCTAATCCTTCTTATAAGACCAAGCTAAGGCATCCTTGCAGATGTTAGATGATACATAATTATTATATAATGAAAAAAGGAAAATTGAGACACAGAATGGGACTGCGACATTTTCAAATCTATACAAGCTGTACAACGGCAGAAACCCTGAAGCACCCATTTTGAAGAAGATCAAGAAGCTCATCAAATAGTATAGCACTGCGCCAGCCCCAGCCTTTTGGAGCTTTTGGTAAAAGAGTACCTGCTTGCTTGAAGCTTCCAAACACCATAACTTCTCGCTTAGATGGACAGATCAACTAAAATCAAAACAAGGAACGAGTCATAAAAATACATATGAAATAAGAGCAACATGATGATTGTCATTGTGGTCTGATATCCAATCTACCTGATAGCGAGCTGTAACTTTTTCACGAGAGTCCACATACATATGCACCTGAATTAACATAAAAGGAAAGTGTAATCACATAATATAAAGCTTTGTTCTTAACTACCTTGCACAAATAAGTTTCAGACAAATAAGTTCAGATTAGTTGCGTAATAAATATAAACATGGGCAACCAGGTTCAAACAAACCATGATAAATTCAGTTAAGAAAAATTAAAAAGAGGGAAGAACGCCTACGTACTACACATTCAATACAATGGCTGTAAACAGAGATAGAAAACACATAATCAATGCTCTATCTTGCATTTTATGAACTACTGATATACACCTAATAACAACTTCACAGTTCACAGTCATACAGAAAATCCCAAGTGATAAACAAGGGAAAAAACAAGGCTACTTTTTCTAAGTAAAAAACCAGCAATTCACAAAATCTGATCCACATGGATAGATTCATTGATATATACTGCTCTCAAAACCAAATTCCCACAGCCTCATTCCTAGGAAGCCCCATCCTAGCTGTCTTCCCCCGCCCCTTTTCCGGGACAATTTAAACCAATTTTGTTGTGCAATATTATCAAATTGAGAAAGAACACAAATGACCATTCAAGAAAACTGAGTTTTCAAAAATTTAGATATTAAGAATTAGCAGCTATAATTTAACATTTTGCTCACAGAATTTAACCCTCGAAATATAGACCACATCTTTGAAGGAAACCAAAAGCAAGATCCAAGAATTCTGTTGCATGTAGGGTGGATATAGCATTCACAGAGGCTTAATCCACAAAGACGAAAATTTGAAAGCACAACAAAAATGCAGAACTTTTTAAAGAACATAAACACAAATGCAAATTTATATAAACAATAAATGGTAAAGTCATTAAGCTGACCTTCCTTTGAGGATCCATTATTTCAGCCTTCCGGCGATGAATAAATAAGCCTGACAATATAAACCATAAATGAAGAGCGAATGAAATAAGAGTAGCTATTATTGTGTAATTTAAACTTACAATGTACTCACTACTAAATCCAAATAAACAGAGCATATATTTCAAAAGGAATATTTTATTCAAAATAATTTCCCTTTGTTTTTTTCAGTCATTCATGATTTAATAACCAATTATTTGCATAAAATAGTAAATGCTCTATGAAGAATTACCAAGTGTCCTACGCCCTTGAGGGTCTTCATCATTAAAAGCTTGAACACTTATCTGTTAGATGCAACAGACTGAATGAGTTTAAAAATATCAATTCTGGAAAATGAGTAGGCTTTTTCTTCGGTATATGCTCTAATAATACACATTCAAGAACATAAAGGAAAAGAAAATTGAAATCGTACTTTCCAAAATGAACCAGCATAAAATGCTTCTGGTGAGTGTTTAACCTGACCATCATTAAGTCGATGCACATCAGCAAATTCTACCCTGTTGAAATTAACAATCCAATTAACAAGAGAATAAAGAAGTATGAACAGTTGATTGAATAAAAGTTCAAAAAATAACAAGTCGGTAATGTATACTCTTCATATGAAGTCATTGGACATGCCATACTAATATATGACCATGACTTGATACATCCCAAAAGATGAACCATGTATTGTTACATGATTTAACAATGACACGAGGGTAATAGTTTATTAAGTGACCTCAAAACCTTAGTTGTTTCTAAAAAGCAGTGAGACATCCATGACAGGTAGCTTTCAAAGTATAGGAAGCTCTATACATAATAAATAAAGGTATCAAAGCAGCAGCTCAGCAGTCAAGAGAACAACAAAGAACATGGTTTGAGTGCAATTTCTCATTCCGTTAAGCAAAGACCATGAGGGGCAAATAGCTTAGGGTACAGCAGCACTTTTTCCGTGTCCGAGTAACACAGCCTATGCTACTACAATATAAGACACGATATAATAGGATACAGAGAAAAGGGGGGGGGGGGGAGAAGAAAACCAACCCAAATCGAAATGGAGGGAAGTGACTTAGAGGTGTCTTCATATCTAAGGATATAGATGCATTGCTTGTGTTCTCACACTGGCCGTCAATATTTTGGTCTGAAGACTCTCCCATCTGAGTACCACTACCACTTGGCCCAGCAGCAGAGGTTTCAATGAAACTATTTCTTAGAGCTATATCAAAAGCACTCTCTGTCTGCCACCCTTGAACATTAATATTTCTTCCTCCGTCACTCAGTCCAACCAAGGCAGTTAGTCCATCTCCAGACATGTCACCATGTTGGTCAGGTCTCAATTCCAGATCATCATTAGCAAGAGATTGCTGACCATTCCTGTTGCCCACACCAAACGGAACACGGGAAAATACAAATCGAGTTGGACACCAAGTGGAAGCAGGAACCAGTGTAGCTCCACGCCCGATACCGGCAAGTCCATCATTTGAACCCCTAACATTTACTCTCACTGGTCTAAATATACCATTTCCTTCAACATTAGCAGGACCCGCAACGTACAAATCACCAATATTGCCAGGTGAATTATTCTGATCAGAAGCTTGGACGTAGTAGCCTGTGGTTCCAGCACCATGGGAAAAGGTAAATGGCTGTTTGCATGCACATGCCATGCCTAAAAGGCAGCAATTTTTGCATGTTTCAGCAGCAATTTCTTGAACCCTCTGACTGAGAAGCATCTAGAAAAGAAACAGAGAAGCACACTAATGTAATAAAATCACACGAAAACAACCTTCCCCCCATCCCCTTACCTCAAGAATTAGAAAAGAGAGAAGTATTAAACAATAGAACAGAGTTAGAAATCAATAAATTACAGAAAATGTTGTCCAAGGAAAATAAAAGTTCAGGAAAATGCTTAAAATAAAATAGACTCTTAGCTATTTATCTTTGCAGTCTTATTTCCTCTCCTAGTCTCTCTTTGGCTCTTTATCTAGGCTAATGTCTATAAATTTTTTTTTCTATAATAGGGACAAAATGAGACTTACAGGGCTTAGAGGCAAGATAAAAATACAAATTAAAAAGGGATTGGACTGGACCAGGTTTGAACTTATGTCTAATTATTCAAACAGCATTGGACTGGATGAGTTAAAAGAATTTGTATGGGATTTGAACAATAACTACGAGTCCAAAATACAAATAATTAAGAAGGATTAATAAAGTCCATCTCCTAAACATTCGGCCTCCAACGAAACACAAAGTAATTGGATGAACAATTATGATGTTCCCCAACAGTTAAAGTTGCATTCTAAGGAATAATAAGAATTTGGAATTACTCTAGTGGTTGTAGATCCTTAAACAATCTTAAAGGTTCACTACGACACCGTAGCAGTTTAGAACTTTAGATCTAGTCCATTTCCATGTCCCCACTCCCCTTACATTCAGAATCTGTGCTCGCATTACATTCAGTGACATAGCTTGCATAAGAATCTATAAAACTCTAGTGCACAGTACTCCCATTCAATATTTGAAGTTGAGGGTTCTATACCTAGCCTAATAGTTGGAATTGGCTTAAGCTTTGGCCCATTGTCCCAATCTCAACTCTCCTTACACACTATCCCAATCGAAGTTGAAAAATAAGCATTCAATTAGGGTCCCATATCTTATCTAGATAGAAGAAAAGCATACAAACACAAGTACTATTTGAAAATAAATCTGCATGAATTATCTCACAACTTCAGGGAAGTGAGAATAAGATACAAGCTTCAAACCTGCAGCCAAAGACCGTCATTCACTGCCTTGCAAGGGAAACCTAATTCTTCAAGCTGTTTTCTCACATCTAAAAGAGCCTCAAAAGACATATTGCAGTACAAAACTGAACCTTCTTCAAAAATGTTAATGAATGTATCATATTCTTCTCCTCTCAACCCACTGTTCCCTTTACCGTAACTCTTCACCTGCCTCCTTCCAACAGTCCTTCCACCCCATGGATAAGCCAAATCATTTCTGCTCCATTCATCAGGCACGATATCGTTGCAGGAAGAGTTTATTGATGATGAAGAGCAATCCCTTGAATCATTTCCTGACAACCAATTAGAACTACTAAAATGGCAGCATATGCTTTCTTCGGATGGTCCTTCTACTAGTGCAGCTTCACTTCCCTGTCCACTGGCAGCAAAATTAACTGGCATTCTGACGTAAGAAGAAGAGGGCCTATAATCAGAGTAGTAGGTAACAAGGGAAGGTTGTTCGAAGTTGTTAGGATATTCAGCTCCTGAATTTGGCTCACTGCAAGCAACTTGAAGTACCTGTTGTTTGTCATCAACATTATTATTGTGGAGGTCAATAACAAAATCTGCAAGCTCAATCAGATAATACAAGCAGAATTTAGCTGTAAGGAGCAAGTAAGAATTTACACATACCGAATCAGCTTCCAAGTTTCTATTACAGCAGGCATCAATAATGTTCTTTCCTTTTGATTGAGACAAGTCATGTTGATTTGAGATCCCTGTTTCCAGGCTTGTACTCTGCTTTTCTTGGGATTCACCCTTGTTGAGAGCACTTTTTTTTACCAATGTATATAATGCAAGTTCAAACCTTCAAAAAGGAAATTAAACAATGTCATCCTGCATGAAAAAGATTCAAATTCTCATAGAGGCCAAAGATATGAGAACAGTACTTTACCGTTTCTCTTCACTAGGTACCCAAAGTTCATTTGAGGTCAGTAGCGTGTGCAATGTTTGGGATGAAAGATTTGGTAGAACCTAAAGACAGTTACAAGAATTAATATTCCAGGTAGCTGGCATGTACAATTCAGTTTCTACCTACTAGTCTATAGGGGATAACAAATTAACAACCAAAGCATTGTATATGGCATGCGATGCAATGAAGCCAAAAAAATGCATATAGCCTTACAGGAGAAACATATAGTTTACAAAAATGAAAAAATGAGTAATATTCTTAGGAAGAACATACTTGAAAACAGTGTTTTAACATAAGGTTGCGATCAAAATCAAGATGAAGATTTTAAACCTGATAGGAATATGAGGTCTGGTAGGGTGTACCTTAGTATAGTGTAGAAGTCGTGCAAAAGATATGAACCCATGAACAGCATGCTAGATGCCTTAGGTTTTTGTTTGGAGTCCTTGGACTCTCCTGGCATGTCTATGTTTGTCAATTGCATCACTTGGATTGAAGATTCCTTGTTAGGCTTGTCACTTATGGAGTATAAATTTATTTTTGTAGTAGCTACCAATTTGGTTTCACCAACACTATTAGTGATGCAGGCTATGTTACATGGACTCGGGAACGGGTGTCGGACATGGACACATGTCCAAGTGTCCGATGTGGCAAGTTCCAAAATTTTAGGACACAGGGACTCTGGCCGATATTTGGACGCGCGTACGGGGACACGTCAATACGTCACTTAAATTTATATAACTCACTTATATATTACAAAAGCTTTAAATTTTTCATTACTACCACCCCTATTTTTTTTTTATTATAATTCTTTCCTTGGTAAATTCTCCTAATAAATGGCAATCTTCTTCTCTCCATCTTCTCTATATCAATTGTGGTCTTCGAACAAGATGTGTTTTTCTTTCATGTTTCTCCTCTTTTTTCCTCTCCACTCTTAACGGAAGTGTCCAAGTGAACAGTGAAGGGTCGAACACATGTCCCGTGTCCGTGTCGTGTCGTATCGACACGGACACTTCATGATTTTAGGTGTGTCCGATTAACATAGGATGTAGGAGCATCCTTGAAGCCTACATATTGTATTGCTATATGATCCGTTTAGTGGCATTTAAAGCTCTTATCTACTTTTTGGATGAATATGCTATCTTATGACGTGGCTTAGGTAAATAGGAGCAATCCTTGTGTCTTGATGCTACAATTGATGGTTGGAGATGTAAGCATGGAAACAAGGTGAAAGAAAGGCTTGCACTTGATAAAAAATGCAATACGTAAATTAAATCAGCCATATCTTCTTCAATACAAGGAATTTTTAGGCGATTGAAATTGGAGATGAAAGTAGAGTCCGAGAGCTTTCGAACGACAGTCATATGCCAAATTTGAGAAAGAATCAAAGAAGTTATGAATGTTTGAATTTGAGCTGTCCACCCAGTCGCATGGAGCACCCGCTCCTTTCGCCGTCAATACAAATTTTTGGAGAAGCGAGGAGCGCCTGCTCCAACCCTGTAGAGCGGCCGCTCCTGACCCAGTTTCGGGCGGACGTTATTGATTCCTTTCTTCTTATTTTACTAGCATTAATCTTGGCTATTCATTTTATAATCCAAGGGATGTAATTTAATATCTGTAGGGATATTTTGTAAAGCCTGCAAATAGGGTAAACTTTGCTTTTTGTTTTTTTTTTTTAAAACAACTTTTGCTTAATTTTGAAATCAATGAGATTATCTCTCCTTAGTCTTGGTGATTATTTACTATCTTTGTGATGGCTTCTTTGTAACTTACACCTTAATCCTAGCTTTAATTGCTATTGGCTTTGATCAAGAACCCCTGTTTCATACATCTCGGTGATTTTTGAGATTGGTTTATCTTGTGCTGTTGTATTGGAATTGTTGTTAGTTGATATTTTCCTCTTTTCTTTAATTATTTCATATCAATTATGGTGGGTTTATACATGAGCTAAATAACTTTTAATTTCAGTAGATTATTACGTTGCTTAATGGGTCATGCAAGGTTCCAGATTGTGTTAGCATAATGGGCTGTTTGGTTCTTAATTAATCTAGGTTTAGAGCCCTAATAAGTAGTGCAAAAGATATGAACCCATGAACATCATTTCAGATGCCTTGGATTTTTGTTTGGAGTCCATGGGCTCGCTAGGCATGTCTGTGTTTGTATATTGCATCACTTGGATTGAAGATTCTTTGTTGGGCTTATTACTACATATGGAGTACAATTTATTTTTGTAGTAGCTACCAATTTGTTTTCACCAACACTATCAGGGTGAATTTATACAAGGGCTTCATAACTTGTTTAGTTTCAGTAGTTGATTATTACTTTGCTTAATGGTTCATGCAAGGTTCCAGATTGTGTTAGCATAGTGGGCTGTTTGGTTCTTAATTAATCTAGGTTTAGAGCCCTAATCAGTAGTGCAAAAGATATGAACCCATGAACATAATTTCAGATGCCTTGGATTTTTGTTTGGAGTCCTTGGGCTCGCTAGGCATGTCTGTGTTTGTATATTGTATCACTTGGATTGAAGATTCTTTGTTGGGCTTATTACTACATATGGAGTACAATTTATTTTTGTAGTAGCTACCAATTTGTTTTCACCAACACTATCGGGATGAATTTATACATGGGCTTCATAACTTGTTTAGTTTTGGTAGTTGATTACTACTTTGCTTAATGGGTCATGAGAGGTTCCAGATTGTGTTAGCATAATGGACTGTTTGGTTCTAAATTAATCTAGGTTTAGAGCCCTAATCAGTAGTGCAAAAGATATGAACCCATGAACATCATTTCAGATGCCTTGGATTTTTGTTTGGAGTCCTTGGGTTCGCTAGGCATGTCTGTGTTTGTATATTGCATCACTTGGATTGAAGATTCTTTGTTGGACTTATTACTACATATGGAGTACAATTTATTTTTGTAGTATCTACCAATTTGTTTTCACCAACACTATCAGGGTGGATTTATACATGGGCTTCATAACTTGTTTAGTTTCAGTAGTTGATTATTACGTTGCTTAATGTGTCATGGAACAGATTGTGTTAGCATAATGGGCTGTTTGGTTCTTAATTAATCTAGGTTTAGAGCCCTAATCAGTAGTGCAAAAGATATGAACCCATGAACATCATTCAGATGCCTTGGATTTTTGTTTGGAGTCCTTGGGCTCACTAGGCATGTCTATGTTTGTATATTGCATCACTTGGATTGAAGATTTTTTGTTGGGCTTATTACTACATATGGAGTACAATTTATTTTTGTAGTAGCTACCAATTTGTTTTCACCAACACTATCAGGGTGGATTTATACATGGGCTTCATAACTTGTTTAGTTTCAGTAGTTGATTATTACTTTGCTTAATTGGTCATGAGAGGTTTTAGGATGTGTTAGCATAATGGGTGTTTGGTTCTTAATTGATCTAGCCGATCTGTTTAGAGCCCTAATCAGTTATTGACAGAAAAGGTGTGTAATACCCTCTGTGGGTAGTGTTTTTTTTCATTTTCATTGGTTTAGGGAAATACACTGATTCAGTCAATAAATAAAGCTACATGTCCCAACAAGCAGATTGGATATTATTGAAATAATTTGTGTGTTTTTCTTCAAGCTTAATCATTGAGATACCAGATTCAGGAGTGAATTCAGAGTTAGAGTTTGTTACAGATTGCTGTCCCTATTCAATCTTATAATCAACTGATGTTAATCAGATTCTAAGTTCCTACATGCAAACTTCAAAACTAAAGAAAGCTTTGAAGATTCAATCATTATATAAAGATAGTTGTTTCTCTGCAAAACTATTCTAAAGGATCACCGTGGCATTCACAAGAAGTCATGGAAAGATCAAATAAAAAGGGACGGGGGAGTATTACACCCACCCACCTTTTAACACCCTCTCTTTCTTAATCTACCTTACACCTACCACCCTTTTTACATTCTCTCTTAATTATATTAACATACACTCATCTTTTCCAAAGCCTTCTTAAACTACGTATCAACAATAAGTGAATTGAACAACATTACAAAATTTTAAAAAGAAAAAAAAGAGCGAGTTAGATTTAGATAGAAAAAAGGGCAACTATATAGATAGCGTAAATGGTCAAGACAAGTATAGTATTAGGAGATGGAGGAAGCATACTTTTATAATCATTAAAAAATATAGATAATATAGTTTGTCATCCTCAAACAAATTTTATACTCAAAATTTAAGGTAAGTAGTGTTGTAGCTAACTCCTAAAATCTTTGTCTTAAAGAATCATTAAATTTGTTTGAATATTTGTTAATGCATACTTCATGAACTTTTCTACTTAAAACTCCAGTGCTAAATAAATAGCTAGTGTCATGCTTAAGGTATAAAATCAAAACTAATTGCACTCCATGCTAATAATTTAAAACAGAACATTTCACATACTATGATGCTGTGTGTTCCACTACCTCTTGTACTTACACTTGTATTTTAAATAATTATCATGCCTTTTCATTCTTATTTTACAAGTTACACATTCCTAATTAAACAAACACGAACTCGTTATCTTCCATTGTTTCATGGAATTTTGTCAACTAATGGAGCAATACTTTTAGCCTAGAGAATCATATTAACTCTATTATAAAAGTATACTCACTTTATTTGATCTATCTGAAATTTTAAACCTTTCAAAAATAATATTATGTATAAAAATTTAATAGCTCTTACATATCCAGATATGAGACTGATATACTCTGGAAAGCATTATCACGGGTGGCCTTTTTATAGTTTATGAGGGGAACATAAAAGAACAGAGTATACTAAGCATTTATTAATCAGGAAAGTTCAGCATGGGAAACATCCCCAAAATCTAAATACCCATTTAAAATATTACTCTCTCCATGCCACATTAAAACAGTTATCACTACATAGAGTTTTAGGAGATAAGCTGTGAGTAGATTTGATGGGAATTTATGTGCCATTTGTATCGAAATTCTAACGGAAAAGTTGGTGTGAAAAGCAAATAGTGGGTCCAAAAGTAAGGTAAGAAATATTTACTTTGTTCTTTTTTAGTTGACGTTTTGACTTTTGACACTCTTCACAAACTCTACTTTGCCTTTTAATTTATAGTTAAAAGAAAATAAATAAATAAAAAATTAAAATTAAAATATAAAATTAAAAAAAAAAAAAAAAAAAGAGTTATATGGGGTCTTATTAGAATTGTCACAATGTATATTTTCATCAAATTAACTTCTTATTATTTTAACTTATTGTCTTACTAATAACTATTGATAACTGAAAAAGAATGTCTTATTAATATCTATTGATAACTGAAAAAGAACGGAAGAAATATTATATAAATGGTAGGACCAGTTCAAGAAAGGAAGTGTCCAAACTATTTTTGGGGCCAATTGTCACAAGAGTATTCATACTATTCTAGGATGGAGTATAAAAAGTACTATAAGCCAAAAATGAGCTACACACCTCTTTCAATTCCATGAAACCACTCTGGCAAAGGTAGCCCCAGCAAGCATTCCTAACTCTTTCCCCATGTATGCCATAGTCTTGATGTTCTGCAAACACCTGTCATGATAGTATAATTAAGAATAGAGAAGCACAACAGATATTGAAAAAATAACCCAAAAAGTATCTCAAACCTGATAGGCTAAGAAATTTGAAGTCCACAGCTCAGCGATGATAAAGTCAGTACAAATAGCACACAATTCCTGCAAATTCAAGCTTTAAGAGACAGGTACTGATAAATTTATTTAAATAGGATATATGTTCAGATAGAATTGCATAAAAAGTGTGCAACACAAAGATTATCACAATGTCATTAAAAATGGAAAAAGTAGATTGAAGAACTTAAGAAGGTTTAAGTTATTAGCTACCATGAAAAGTAAGATACCTGGAGATCAAGAAAGGATGCCGCAGCAAGAACACGGAATGCATTATTGTCATTAAGCTTAGGGTGATGCCCATAAAGGTATGCCAATGAGATAGCAATGGCCTCCGCATTAACATTTGTATCATCTATCTGCAAACTTAAGACGGGGGCAGATGCTTCTTTCCAAGGACCATGAAGCATATTCCTAACAAGCAGTTGTGCAATAAGATAGAAGTTTTCATTAACTATCCAACAATAAATTGTAAGCATAGAAAACCCATAAACAGTTCAAGAACAATGAAAACAACTTCAGGCAACAATCAATTCTTCCTTTGTTCTGTTTCTCTTATTCTCATTATGTGATTTTTAGCATATCTTTAGCACCAAAAACAGGTCAAACTTACGACATCAGAAAATTTTATCAACAACCTAAGATAAGCAGCAGTATAATCTCTATTTCTGTAAATGTAAAAGAGAAGTTGAAATCTCAACTATAGCAACCGCTTCTTTTAATCAATTCCTTACATTTCTACCCATGGTCACTTGCTGACGTGCATGAATCATTCCACACAAAAGTAACTGACAGGCTCTATGTTGATCAGATTCTTCATCATACCTCAAGTATCTGTGTAAACATGGATCGGATTCTTTGATACTTCACTTTGGGCCAAAAATCATGGATATTTTTCACAAATAAATAGAGTACTTGAGTCTGACCAACATAGAAGAAAACTGGCGCTATTCTATACCAGATTTGAACACTTGGGGACAGGATCATTTCCCTCTCACAAACGGAAACTTATAGCACAGTATTAGCGCCATAGCAAGGGTTTGAAAATCACTTTTCTAAAACAACTACTACCTCCGTTTATTATTATTTGCAACATTTACTAAAATTAGGCGCTTCCTATCATTTGCAACAAACTTTTTTATTTCCTTTTTTAGTAACTTTTTGCCAACAAAATGCCCATATTACCCTTACTTAAACAACTTCGACATCTAATTAGATCGCTAACCTAATTTAACTTTTTACGTAATAAATCTGATTATTGTAATCATTTTCACCAAAAATCATTCATCTTCCCACTTTCTCTCTCTGGTTTTCCCCAATTTTCTTCCTCCTTCAATTTTCTCTCTCCTCTACATTTTCTTCTTCTTCTTCACCACATCTTTCAATGGCAATGGAAAATGATTGAACATGTCCCTCGACGATCTCATAAGATCAACAAATCTTCTGGTTCGTGGGGGTGTTAGGGGCTTCAGTTCTGGTTTTAGGGGTGGCGTGAGTTTCGTGGGGGTGGCGTGGCTGGGTTCGTCTGGTTCGTGGGTCTAGTTTCGTGGGGGTGGCGTGGGTCTGGTTGATGGTTGATGGTGATGGCTGGGTGGGTCTGGTTTGGGTTTGTCTTGGGTTTGTCTTGTTCGTGAGTTTGGGTTTGTATGTTTGTCTAGTTCGTGGGGTGGTTGTAGGGGTTCAGATTTGATTCGTGGTGGTTTACGGTGGTTTCGGTGGTGGTGGTTTACGGTGGGCTCGGTGGTGGTGGTGGTGGTGGTTTGCGGTGGGTTTGGTGGTGGTTGTGATTCTGGGTTTTAGTGGTTCTGACAAATTTTTGTTTTTTTTTTTTAATTGGATTAGTGTTTAAGTACATGCCCTTATATTTTAATAATCATGCTTAAAAACTTTTGTCTTGGCCTCCGTGAAAGGTACAATTGTTGCAAATAATAACGAACGGAGGTAGTATATATGAAGAACTCTCATGTCATGGCAAAGCAAAACAAATAAAGTACAGTTTGTCTAACTCAAGCCCAGAGCTCACATAGAACATAGGACAGTCAGATATGGATACACTATGTCAGGCAATAACTTTGACAATTAAACTATATATTGCAACATTAGCCATAACGGGGCTTTAATTGGCATATAAGCTAGTTGATTGCTCAGTATTAAAAAACCGTCAACATCACCATCATTGAGTTATAGCTAAAATCTCCAAATCACTTGAAATAATGGTATGATTTCTCAAGGTAAAAAAAATACCATGAAAAATTAAATCAAACTTACATCCAAATTCATGTAAGTCAACATCTATATGATTGTGTGTTTCCAATTTTACAACATAGCACATCAATCACCTACTTCTTGTCGTCTCGTTGTATGTCATAGTTTATTTGTCTTTTCTAGTTTGCTTAAATAATTCAAATTTATACCCCTCATCTGTTAATATTAAGTTACAATGATTGTAAATTTAGCTTATTTTCACTTTTCATTTTATTCAAAATCACAAAATACCCGTATGATGTTGGGAATATTTCAATTTCAAAACACAATTTTTTCACCAATTTTCTTCGAACGTTTTTCCAATTTGAGCTCTAAACGTAAACTATTGACAAAAATGGTTGCGTGGCAAAACTATTTACCAAACTAAGCTTCCAGGGTAAATCGCTGTCTCCTGGTTTTTTTTTTTAAAAAAAATTCAACTGGTAAACGCTGTCCCAGACAGCGTTTTACCTTCTGTATTTTTTTAAATTCAGTAGGGCATAAAACGCTGTCTCGGACAGCGTTTTATCCTTGGGTTTTTTTTAAAAAAAATTCAATGGGTAAAACGCTGTCCGAGACAGCGTTTTATGCCCTGTTTTTTTTTTTAAATGAAACGCTGTCCGGGACAGCGTTTCATGGCCATATATCAGCATGTTCACTTCAGCAGAATGCGCAAGAACTCAACCTCAACGCTTTCCCTCCTCCCTCTCACACTAAACCACGACCGTACTCAAACACCCGCATTGCCGCCGCCGCCCACCCTTGCGCCACCGCTGCTGCCGCCACCTTGCTGCTGCCCTCCTCCCTCTCACACTCACTCACTCAATTTCGTGGTTAGCCCTAAACTGAATTTAGTGTAATTGCATAGTTATTGTGGTTAATTATTGTGAATTGTATGTAATTGCTCTTACTTGTTGTTAATTCATGTCAATTGCATGTAATTGTTGCTAATTATTAATGAAAATGTGGTACATTGTTGATAATTATTGATGGTGATGTGGTACATTGTTATTGAAATTGTTCATGACATTGGTGAAGTTGATGATGGTGAAAATGTTGAAGTTGTTAATGGTTGAAATTGGTGAGAAGAGATGAAATTGTTGAAATTATTGAAATAGTTTAGGTTGAAATTGTTGAAATAATTCAAATTGTTCATGAAATTGTTGAAATTGGTGAAGTTGTTGAAAGTGAAGTTGTTATAGGTGAGAAGAGTCTTATTTCAGTGTTGATAATTTACCTCGCTCTAGATTTCGATAATCCTAAAATGTGTTTTGGTTATGTAGAATATGGCGTCACAAAATGTAGTTTTGTTATGCCGGTGGGGAGGAGAAATTCTGTTTGATGGACCCCGGGTCGAGTATAGTGGGGGAGTGGCGTCACAAAATGTTTGATGCCATGCCTCCACATCTGCTAGACCATCAGGCGGAGTGGCGTGCTAGGGTCCCCCTGATCTGTTTCGAGGTTGTGGAGAGTCACCTGCCCGACCGAGTCATGAGGCAGTTTGGACTACGCCAGACTATCCCACAGGGGTGTGACACTAGTGTACAGCTTCACGGCATTGATCGTCGGGGAAAGGGGGAGACCAGCTGGGCGCTGGAGCATTGGCGTTTCCTTCAGCTATGGGAGCAACGGTTGGAGTTCATCGTTGGAGGTGATCTAATGCAGGGGGCTATGGATCCCGACGATCCGTACATGGTGTGGTACAGGCGTATCACACGACGCTTCATCAACCCCAGCTACGCACCACCATCCACACATTACCATCCAGCATATGACATCATTAGCGGATATGTGAGTTATTATTTTTCTACTCCTTTTCAACAATTTCCATATTTGTATGCCATAGATCTGACTGATCGATGATTACTGCAGGCGGCGGATATGGTGGCGATGGTTGATGCGCTATCAGTCTCCCTTGAGTGCGGACCCACTAGAGCCCAGGTCGAGCAGGTGCGAGATATGGGCGTCGCTACCTTACGGAGATATGGTCACGCTCATCTCGCCCACCGGCGGGACGGTCATGATGGCAACTCACAGTTCGATCTCGGCCAGAGCAGCGGTGGATGTGATCCTACGTCACCCAGACACGCAGAGGATTACAACATCCACAGTACTGCGCCCTCTGGTACCCAGGAGGACCCCTCGTCCAGTCAGCTGACTCCCCCACCGCCCCGAGACCCATTCACCACCGTCACTCATTACAGGCGGCGACGTGTCAGACGGAGGGCCGACACTCAGGAGGCAGGACCTTTACCCCGAATAAATGAGTCGGGCTAGTATTATCTGTTGTATTCCCTGTTATTTTGTGTAATGATGTACATAACACTTATGAAATTAATATAATAAATCTTTTTTGAATGACTCCGTGTGTGCTTTGAAGTTAATTTGGTGGTTGGACTGTTGTTGGGCTGTTTCGAGTTTTCTGCAGTGCTTAAAGTTGACGGAACTCCCAGAATATGGTGGTGGTACGTGGTGGGGAGTGGCGGAGTTGGTGGTCGACGGTGGTGGGGTAGGGCTGTGGAGCTGGCTGTTGTGGTGGCTGTTGGAGGACTGCAGCATGCAAGCTGTTTGCTGAAGCTTGTTTTCTGCCTGGATGCTGGTTGCTGTTTCCAGCAGAAAAGCGCTGTCTGAGACAGCGCTTTATGTTCAAGCATAAAGCGCTGTCTGAGACAGCGCTTTATGTTCAAGAGCGCTGTCTGAGACAGCGCTTTATGTTGAACATATAAAATAGTTGTAGTTGAATTTTTTTTTAAAAAAAAAGCAGGGACAGCGATTTACCCTGGAAGCTTAGTTTGGTAAATAGTTTTGCCACGCAACCATTTTTGTCATTAGTTTACGTTTAGAGCTCAAATTGGAAAAACGTTCATTTTCTTCACCAAATCACAAAGTATTATAGACCTTCCACTGTACATCAATGTACCCTACAAGGGCTACAACCAAGAGTATTTATTATTGATCAATTGAGGCTGATGTAACCTCGAACGATACACCCGAATGTATAATTGAAATTTTTATCAAGCGCCCCTGAACACCTCAAAATACAAAATACGAAAAGAAAGACATTCGACAATCCCCATTCAAAAAATTCTCCGAAATTTAAATGCAAAAGTACGAAAATTGCAAAAGTATGCATAAAAAGGGAAATATGAAACCTGAAATAAGAACTGCGAGAAAGAATCAAGCGATGAAGATGATAAGTAGAGCCCATAGCATTGACAACAATATCGGAGAAAACGCCATTGTTAAAACCCTCCAATTGAATGTGATCACACAAAGAGGCGAGATTACAATCGACAGCCCGCAATTCGACGCTGCTCCGATCACTATCTGATTGCTGCTGCTGCTGAGGTTGCGATAACGGAAGCGACATAGAATGATGATGATGGTGCTGCTGCTGCTGGTGTTGGTGTTGGGTGAACGAATAACAACGATTTCTTGTTGATGAGTGGGATTGCAGCTGGTGGTGTTGGTGATGCTGGTCCGCCATTGGTTATGGTGAGAGCGTGAAAATCAGCGCCATTGTTGTCTCTTTAAGAATTTCTGAAAGGGAGAGAGAAAGGGATTCGGGGTTATTTTCGGTGGAACTGGGATGATTACATTAATGAGAGTAGTGTAGTAAAATGAGGCCACCTCAATCAGGTTGATTGACACAAAATATTGTAAATCAGCCCTTTTTGCGGGCCAGCTTTTCAATATAATACACTTTTTTAATATTTTAAAAGAAAAAAATAAGCTTAGATCTAGCATCACCATTCACGAAGGACGAAGCACCACCATCTCCGACTACTCCCTGTCATCTCGCCGGTGATCGGTCATCACGAAGCCACCGCACTACCATCATTATCCCCCTGTCATCTCGCTGGTCAACCACGAACCACCAAAATCATCTCCGTCTTCTCGTGTTCGTCTTAGCCGCCATCACCATCACAACCCCTTATTCCTCTCCGAAAGATCTTCTTCGCGTCCCTTTTCTTCTTCCCTTCTTCCTTCTTCCTCGACAACCACTCCTACGCCGCGAGCAAAAAGACCATGTACCCCTTAGGATAGCATTTTCTTCGCGGAAGCAATTTTAACCACCTTAGGGTAGCATTTTCTTCGCGGAAGCAATTTTAACCACATAAGGTGGTGGTGGCGGTGGTCTGCAATAGGGATTTCATGGAGGAAAAAGGTGGGTTGTTGTAATGGAAGAATGGAGAAGGGAGGAAGAAAGGGATGAAACTTACAAATTATCCCTTATTAAATAAATAAAATAACCCATGTATCATTGATTTACATTGCTTGTCAATCAGAATGATCAATAAGTATTTTCTGTAAATTCTTGGGTGGAATTTCATTTGGAACAATTACTGGAATTTCATTTGGAAAAATTACCAAAAATAATGTTTAGTTAAGGCGAATTTACAGTAAACTTGTTGAATGGCAAAAAAAAGATGAAAAAAAGTTTCTTACTACACGTGGGATATTACCCACCCAAATTTATTTCAATAACTTTTCTCTCTCCTCATTCAATTCTTTCTTTCTTTTAGAAAACTTTCTCCCTCTTCCTCATTTTTTTCCCTCTCTCTATTGACAATGCTTCTCTCTCTCTCTTTCTCTTTTTTTTTTTCATTTGTTTCTTTAGTGATGATTTACTGCTTTTCACGAAGAAGAAGACTACTACGTTATCTCAATTTTTTTGTTTTTGGAATTTCGTTGCTAGAGATTGTCGATCTTCTTAATTTTGTAACTTTTTGGTGTTATGATTTTGATATCGTGATATTTTAATTTTTGATTTATGGATAACTTTTGTATGTTTAAGGGTAACTTTTTGTGAGATCAAGGATAATATTTTGAGTTTATGGGTAAATTTTATGGATAAAAGGGTGACTTTTCTAGAGTTTATGTGAATTTCAATTAGAAGATTGATTCTAACCTCTAATTTTTATTCTGAATTTTCAATTTCTACATGAATCTAATTTAAACAAACAAATATCCAAAAAAAATTGATTAACAGTGATAAATTACCTAGATTGAGAGTTTGGAATGTTATTTTCATAATCAATTGGATTGATTTCATCTCCAAAATACACTATTCCGTCTTCTATAATAATCGCACAATTAAGGTCAATTTCAATGGAAATCTTCGAACTCCAGATTTTTTTTTTTTACCAATGGAGTCTGAATATGCCTTCACCATTGTACTATTGTAGTAAAGCATGAGGTTTTTGCAATATGAGAAATTTAATTAATTTGACGAATCGAAGAAATGGATGTAAGAGTTTCCTTTTCTCTAATGGTGGTTTTTTGTGTGTGTGTGTGTGTGTTGTTGCATGGTTTCACTTTCTCTTTCTTCTAGCAGCATAGATCACTTTAGAGGAAATAACTTGGCACGTGCGAGCTACCCGATTTACATTAATATATTGTACATCGGGGGTATGCAAAAGATTTACTACTGATTATCCGAGAATAATTTTTTTAAAAAATAACATCTCATTACCACCAACACCACCCCGCCGCCCGCTCATGCCGTCACCAAACACCACCTTCGCAGCCTTAGAAAATTCATCACCTCCCTGCTTGTGTTTCGGTTTTTTGGAAGTCTCTCGAGAGAGCTACAACACTGAGACTAAACACCCTCGACTAGTCAGTGATTGGGAGAGTGAGAAGGGAGAGCAATACTTTGGCTATATTGTATTAATTATTGTTGTCTCATCATCAATGATTGGGAGTATTTATAGATTCCTAGGAAGGTGTACTCCCTGATTTTGTACCCTAAAAAGGGGGTGATGTAATTGGCTAGTCTAGGAGAATTTGCCGCATGTTAGTGTATATGTCGTTTTGCGGCTTTCTCGAGAATTAGGCCTTGTATCCCTATTTCTCTCATCATCATCTTTATTTATTCTTTAGATGAATCACGTGACATATGTCGCCCTCTGATTGGTCCACGTATCTTGATAAATTTTACCCCGAGGTGTTCCAAATGGTTAACGATGAGCTGCTTAGAAAGTTCCTCACAGGGGCATGTTGGTCTTTTCACACAGATTTTGAATTTTTCCACGCAATACTCCCGTATCGAGGCAATAGTAGTTCGTTCCTTCTGAAAAAGCTTTGTTTATTTGGCTTTTACACTCCCCTTCCTTATTCCAAAAGTTTCGGTTTCTTTTTCCTCTCATTTTTCTGTGTCCTTTACTTCTCTCATCCTCCATTTCATTTAAGGAAGTTTACTTCTCTCTTTTAAAGAAGTTTTGCTATCTCGTTTTCTCTCGACGTATGAGTTATTTTCGTACTTAAACTTGATAATGCGATTAAATTAAAAAGAAATCCTTATTTTTATGATACCCTTATTATTTTTCTATGGTACACCCTTTTAAATATAATTTTAGAGGTACTCTTTTAAATTTTATAGGGATTTGGAGACGTTTATATGTAGAGGTACCTTCTACATTTTTGTCGTAGCCCTAAAAAACTTAAACATATCATTTAAATGATCAGTATGTGGTACAGTTATACCTTGCAGTTGTACGTAATGATGTACTAGTGGTACCTTTCTAACCTAATGATTTGATGATGGTCGGTACCCTTTTAAACTGAAGTGGTACACTTCTATATATAATTGGTACCCTTATGCTATGTGGGGGTATAGCGTATTTGTATCGAAACCTATCAAAATTATAAACATCCTAAGGCCCTGTTGTTTCGGGTTTTTGGAGTCCCTCGGGAGAGTTACAATTCCAAGAATACGCGTCGACCGTCTGTACCTGCAAAACCACAGAAACTCCGATTGGGTGGAGTTCCGCCTCCGACGATCAAGTTAGAAGGTGTCGAATGTATAAAAATGCGGAATTTAAAGGTTTTTCTCTCGGATTCCGAGAGAATTCTGCAATTAATATTACTCGGGTTTTGTGTGTATATTTATGAATATGTAATAAATGAGGATTTTCCTTTATTTATAGTGAGAGGAGATCAGTTCTCCTTTCATAAGTTAGAGTGCCACGTGTCACCAGAGGATTGCTCTCTGATGCTGACACGTGTCAGCACGCGATTGGTCCACGTGGACAGGGTATTTTTACCCTAAACATTTGCCCCTCATAGGTGTGACGTGGCTTGCCACGTGGCACCTGTGACAGGTGTCATGCTCTGAGAAGGTGACGTTTCGTCTCATCTCTCTCTCTTTTTTTTTAATTTGAATTTGGAAGGTGACGGTTCGTCTCCTTCTGGGGTTCTCTATAAGTAGAGATGCCCCCCCTCATTTTCAACACTTTGCCATTTTTTGAGAAATTTTCCTGAGAAAGAGAGAAAGCTCTGATACCGGCTACTATTTCTTGCACAACCGTCTTTCTTTTCTTCACTCAACCAGCTTCTGTCTGAGTGCTCATCACCTAAAACACATTAAAACTGCTTGAGGGTCCTTTGATTAATTCCAATTGCTTTCAATACGCCCACAGCCGGTCGACCATCTGGGGTATCTTCAAACAAAGCTTCTGAGGAATGGCTGGGTTGTTAAACAATCTTCAATTGCTCTTCAAGAGGGTACATCCGGACAACCGTCTGGGTATCTAGCAAGCAACAAAAAGATTTTTGGTTGCTAATCCGGATAGCCTACTTTCTCCATACTCAAAGCATCTTCAAGGTACCGTCTCTACCCTTTGCAACTTTTTTGAGTTCATGTGCAAGACAGAATGGCTCGAACGAGACGGACGGTTGTAGACCCGAATACCAGTCAGACGGCTCAGCCGAAGCTCTGGCTGACATTGTACATTATGACCATCCGGGTGTACCTAGCATGCCCAGTGATGATATATTGGAAGAGCCCGAGGATATAGGCGGTGAATAGACCGTCCAACAATCAGACTCTTCAGAGTCTACCATGGAACCGGATGCCCCCGTAGAGGATGAGGAGGTGTATAAATGGCCCTCCATCAATAATCCAATAGAGGCGCATATGACCGCTAGGAATGTGTTCACTCTAAACGCCACCTTACCCGAATTTTTACAGAAGCGCCCGGTTGGGCAAGGATGGGAAATTGTGGTGCTGCCTGTAGAGGCAACCGTCGTCTGGGATGACGACCTTGATCATGGCGACGACTATTTCGGCTGTTATGAGGCGGCATTCAAAGCCGGCCTCCGGTTCCCCCCCCCATAATACAATAAAAGCCATTATAAGAGGCTACGAACTTGGCGTTTGGCAGTTAACACCCAATTCTTGGGTGAATATATTAGGATACATTGCCTCCTGTGAGATGTAGGACATAACGCGCTAGCTGGGAGGCGTTTGCACAAATGCATTATCTCAGCCGTGCCCCAGGCGGCTGGAATGCGTGGTACACATTGACCACGCATCCGGAATACATGATGACGCTTGACAAGCCGTCAAAATGGAGCAGCTGAAAGTGCAAGTTTTACTTGGTTTCTTCCCCATCGTTACGCCTAAACCACCGGCTGTGTTACTACTATAAGCACCCGGCTCTCTTTGGAAAGAAATGTGCCCTTCCTAGAGTACCGGAGGAGGCTTGGGCACAAATAATGGAGACGGGGCTCTTCAAGAAGACCTCCTTGCCTTTGGATGATGGGACTGAAGTCATTGTCCCCAAGAACTAGGTCCCTCATTCGGACTGGCTAAAGGACGAGGCTTTCCTTTTCTGCCTGTGGCCTTAGCACAATGTTTAGCAGACGTATGTTGACTGATAACCGACACTTTTTGCCGTCTGTATCATACTTGAATGGATTTTGACTTTTTGATTTTTTCTTAGCAGAGAAAGGATTAGAGATGGTGCCTCCAGAGAAGACGTATGCTGCTCAGATCCGGAAGGATCAGTTAGAGAAGAAAAGGGCTCAACTGGCGGGCAAGGATGATGGGGTAAGCTTCGGCTGATATTAACGTCTGTACAGTTTGATGTTAATTCTGATATTAACCGGTTGCTTTGTTGCTTTTTCAGATAGGGAGCAAGAATGTTCCTCGCTCCCTAACCAAGATGTTGAAAAGACCGGGCGAGGAGCCCTCCCAGCCTCCTTCCAAGTCTAGGAGGACTCAGGCTGCCCCTACCTCTTCCGGTAGGCTGCTTGTGCCTGAGAGGCCCACCTCAGCAGGCAAAAGCCTGAAAGACCTTGGCCTATGCACAGGGCGGGCTGAGGTTGAGACGAGGGAGCCTGAAACTCCCTCAAGCCAGCTGCTTGCTGTAGCATCCGGTTCCAATGCGGCTGGGGGTGGGATGACCCCTCAGCCTGAAAATGAAGGTATGGATCTCACCTTTGATCCCCCCTGGCCGCTTCGGCCTATGCGAGTCAAGTCCCAAGCTACCCAATCAGAGGATTCTTCAGGCAACCGGCAGAATGTAGGTGCCGCCTATGCTCAATACTTACAAATAAATCTGTTGATGCTGATGCCTCTTCTTGTTGGCCTGACCTCCAACAATATGCTAAGAGGATGCTGAGGACCCTCACCCAGTCCGAAAAGGAGGCGGTGTCGGGTGTGCACCAGATCAACATTGACCGTATCAACTCACTGCTCGCTGAGGTAATTGGCCGGTTAGGGTGTTTTTGTACAATTTTACTCTTTTGCCGGTTGTAGCATAATTGAGAGACTAACCCTTTTCCAGCTAGTCTTGCAGGTGATGTTAAGAGTAGACGGACTCAAGGTTCCCTTGAGGAAGAAGCAAGAGGAGGTAAGAGACGCCAATAGGCGGGCGACTGACCTTATTGATGTTACTCAATACAACACCCTAATGTATGAAATTCAAACTAAAAGCCGGGAGATGAAACAGGAGGA